AGTGTTCCTATCTCCTTTGTGGCTTATGCATAATCGATTTTGATATTTTATGAGCCTCGAGCAAAATATAAATAGACGACACTATAAGCATTTCAAAATGAAAACTTATATTTCTTAAAAAATACACATAATAAAATTAAAAATGATATATTTTATTAAATAAAACACAAAATGATTTAATACAAAAATATAAAAAAAATTCACATTTTTTATTCAACTTACTTCTATATTGCTATTTATCAATGATAAAATATTTTTGTCTTAAAAGTAAATCTTAGATGTACTTTTGTTGGATAAATTCTACTTTTGATTTTTATTTTTATTTTTTTTTTTAGATTTATTTTGGTCATTTATTTTTTAAAATATTTATTTTGATTTTTTATCTCATAAATTTAGGTCAATTTACTCCTTTCGAACCATTTGTGTATTTCATTAATTTAGGTCAATTTACTTCTTCATTGATTCAAGATTTAAAATTTGTTCCATAAAATTTACTTATATAAAAATTATTGATTACAATTGAAGATTAAACCAAATGTGATATAAATATAGTGCAAATAAAAAAGTTTAAAAAATCTAATTTTATATTATTTCCTAATGATTCATAAGATATATTTTTTATATGATTTTTATTATATTTATATTCTATCTTAATTCAAATATCAATTGCATTTCATAATTTTCGTATAAGTGAACATAATGTTATAAGTTTCAGGTCTTGAGTCAATCAAAAATTGATTCAAAATCATGTTGAAAAATTTAAATGATCATTGTTTTAAGATGATTAAATTGATTTAAATAAAAAGATAAAGTGTAACATTGTTAAAAAAAAAAAAAAAAAAAAAAAAAAAAGAGGCTGATTCAGTAGCCCAGAACGGGCCGTTCCCAAACTGGAACGGGCCGTTCCAAGCTACTGAATTGAACTACATATTGTAGTTGAGAACGGGCCGTTCTGGGAAGGAGAACGGACCGTTCTGGAGGGAGAACGGGCCGTTCTGGAGGGAGAACGGGCCGTTCCGGAGGGAGAACGGGCCGTTCCGGATGAGTCCCGGAACGGGCCGTTCTGATTTCAGAACCGGCCGTTCTGGGCGTTAATTTTGTGCGTGATTTGGGAGTTCGGAACGGGCCGTTCCGAATTCGGTACGGGCCGTTCTGGGCCAATCCGAAAGTCTATAAATAGGGGGTTGGGGGCCTTCAGGAGTTTTGGAGTTTTTAGAGAGAAGTTTTAGAGAGAAGGTCTCTGGGTCAGTGAGCTCCTTTCTCTCCCAAATTTCTCTGTTTGACTCCTTTTCTCCTCTAGATCACTAACTCCTTCTGACTTTTCTTGAAATTCAGATTAGAAAGCTTGTTTTGGGAGGACTGAAGTTCCGAGTTGAGCCTCGAGGGGAAATTCTACTTTTGTTCAGTCTTTGGCTATCTGAGCCAATCTTCAGGTAAGGGAAGCTAGAATGTTTGTTATTTAAGTTGCATGTGAGTTTAGAAACTCAATTGATGCATGAAAGTTGAGGATCCATGGCTGGATCGGAGAATTCGCTAATTGTTCAAAGTCTTGGAAAAAAAATGGGGGTTCTGGTGAATTTGATGCATCAGATGGGTGCATGTTGATTCTAGGTTTATTTAAGTTGTATGGAGTCTATGCATTGTATTTTGTGTTTGCATGTGGCTGGATTTGTTGGTGTGGATGAGAGTTTGTGAACTCTGTTATTGGAATTTAGGCCGGGCGCAGGTTGAATGCGCTAGGCGTGGATGAGTCTTGGGACTCTCAGGCTGGGATTAGGCTGGGCGAGCTCAGGCTACGCCGAGCGTGAATAAGTTTATGAATGAATTGATGCTTATGCATGTTTAAAGTTAAAGTTTTAGATCATGTATGTATGATATATGATGTATGGTGAGGTGTGATTCATATGTATGCTTTGTGATGATACGTATGAATGTTTGAATATGATATGACATGCGTATATGTTCATATGAGTATGATTGTTGATCATAATGGTGGGCAGACCATTATGATGTATGATGCATTATTGCATGTGATGTCTTATGACATGTGTATGATTGTTGATCATGATGGTGGGCAGACCATTATGATGTATGATGCATGATTGCATGTGATGCCTATGGCATGAGTCTAGCCTAGGACTTGAGGAGAGGAAAAATATTTTCGAACTGGAAGAGCTCACATAGAGTCTCTTGAGAGTGGTGCTTGGATAGGCCACTGATATATGAGAGTGGTGCTCTGGGAGGCCACTGGATTTGGGAGAGTGGTGCTCAGATAGGCCACTGGGTTGGGTGAGTCTCCTCTAAGTCCTTAGCTAGTGTTGGAGCGGGGTATGAGGTCGAGGGTTATTCCCTTAACCAAGTACTCGGGAAGGTGCGTGGATCCTTGCGGATAGTCGGTGGGCGAACTCCACAATTGACTTGGTTAATGCATGCCAAGGTCGTGGTAAGCCCGTACCCAGCTGTGCTATACCTGACGGTGGATCTGGACTTCCAATTGTGTAAGTGACATCATCCGAGTAAACCCGAGGGAGGATTATATATCCTGTTTAGCTGTGACCGAGCGGGCGCATTGGGCGTGAAAACGGTTGGGGTGGTTTCGGTAGGATGGAATGTCACTTATACAGCTCTATTGTTGTGGAGATCTCCTAGGTGTATGCGTGACGACGCATTAGATGATTGATATGCATTGATATCTGTCATGAGATGCATTTATTGCATGATTATTAATATGATGAAGTGTGGTGTTTGACTTCATGATTGGTGGATTGTATTTTATGCATGAGTAGTATTGGATAGAGTGTATGGTGTGACTCTATGAATACGATTGTGTAATATAGATTATTATGATTCATTTGTGAATTCTAGCTTACCCTTCTGTTTCCATGTGGTGGAACTGCGATGATCATACTTGGTATGGGAGCAGATCAGGGCTAGCTTGGAGTCGAGGTGACCGCTGCGAGACGGGGAGTTTGATCCTCGTGTTAGGGTTACCATTTTGGGTAGCGATTTTTGTCTGTTTGACCGGCACTAGGAAATATTATTTTTGGGATGACTGTACATATATGGCATTTTATTTTGTATTTAAAGAATTTGGTTATTTTTATTCTTATCTATACCTGTATGTATGAGTTATCCAATTTAATATTTTCCTTAGTTCACTAGTAGTAGTGCGATTCCACTAAGTGTAGAGACCATGGCGGGTCGTTACACTTTTATGGTATCAGAGCCGGTCGAGTCTGTTAGGATGCTCTGTGGGGAGTGATCCTTCTATGTTTCTGTTGTGTCATATCTTTGATATGTGTTAATTTTGGTGAGTTGTAGTGGTAAAGTGTTAGTAAAAGAATGTTTGAATTCTTTTAGTATGGTGAGGTCTCAGTTTGATCATATCGCTAGAACTATGGAGATGATGGCCATAGTGATGCAATAGTAAAGTGCTTACTTTGCTTAGATGGAGGTGGGTAGAGCTGCGGTTGAGGCAGCTAGACCGGTGGTCTCTCAGGCAGAGTTTAGGAGATGTTAGCTTCTTCAGTTCAAGGGGGATTCAGATCTTGATGTGGCATATTAGTGGTTGTGTGAGATGGAGAAGATCTTCAGTGTTTTGAGATCTTCTGAGGAAAGGAAGTTGGCCTATGCAATATGTATACTGGCAGGCGAGGCTGAGTACTGGTGGAGAGACACCAAACAAATGTTAGAGAACAGGAGTGTACCTGTTGATAGGGATTGCATTAAGAGAGCCTGTCTGTTCTAGATTATGCTATGAGGTTTGAGCATTTAACTCGTTTCTACTCTCAGGCCATATCTGAGGCTTGGAGATGTAGAAAGTTTGCAGAGGGATTGAGGCACGAGCTGAAGAGGGTCATAGTCCCTATGTCCATAGTGGAGTTTCCTGCCTTGGTTGAGAAGGCAAAGACTGTTGAGAGTTTGGAGGGTGGTAGTAGCAGTGGTAAGGCTGCTAGAGTTCAGGAGGGGAGGCCAGTAGAGGGGACCCTATGACAGACCGGTATAGTCTCAGAGAGGAGCTGTTAGTAGAGGACCTCGACCTGTTACTGCTCAGGGCGGAGCACAGTCGGTGCGGTACTACAGATGTGGAAGAGCACATATGGTTAGAGATTGTTCTCATCCGGGGAATGTTTGCTTCAGATGTGGTAGGCCAGGCCACATCTCTAGAGATTGTCAGACACCGCCGACTTCATCTGGGAGTGCCCCGAGGCCACCCAGACCTACAACTGCGGGGAGAGTGTTTACATTATCAGGTGCAGAGGCTTCCACTTCATCAGACTTGGTGAAGGGGATAGGGAAGGCAACAGGTGAGGATGTTTTATTTTTGTTCGATTCTGGTGCCACACATTCATTTATTTTTGTTGATTGTGTGGGGAGATTGGGTTGTTGGTGTTTGCAGGGCACGTTGTTTTGTATGTATCTACTCTGGCTTCAATTTCTTTGATGACATTGGAGATGTGTGTGAGATTCCTAATAGAGGTGTTTTG